GCCCCCCCCGCCCCCCCCCCCCCCCCCCCACCCACACACCCTAGGGCCGCTCTGTCAGGAACCGCTACTGGATGGGGAAGCCGTAAGGATGGATCAGCCTTGCCATTCGCTGCAGATCCCATTAGGCTTCAGAGTGAACATGCCGCCTCCTACCTCTCCTTTCCCACCCAGGCGATCCCAGAAGATCTTCCTCCTCGCCGAACCCAGGGGCTGATGCATCCCCCTTCCCTGTTCCGGTGCCCGGCTCCTGCATCTCGGGTAGGCATCCCCCAAATTTCCCCCCTGCCGTTCGCCGTCCGTACTTGTGGTTCAAGCCACGCTGGCGCTTTCCGCTGTTACTAAGCGGTGGCTTGCTTGGGGAGTGTGGTTTCTGCCGCCGCGCCAGGGTCTTGCCGGCATTTGCTGCGGTCCCGCGCCGTTTTCGGAGTAGGGGAAAGGCTTCAGCGTGACGCGGGGTGTTTTATTTCGGAGGGGGTGATGCAAAGCAGTGGAAAACAGCAGCCACGTTCGCTCCTGGGGCTCGTCTCACCTGTTGCTGGTACCCGCAGGGAGGGTCCGGGCACCCCAAACCGTGCAGGGAGCACGATGCCGAGGCGTGGGCATGGTGTGAGCTGGCAAGGGGTGGGCAGGGACGCCGGGGCAGGCATCACCGAGGACTCGTGGATCTGGGCATCCCCCAGGCCATCTTTGGTTTGCCAGCAGCCGGTCAATCCCCGGTGATCCCCCGCTTCTCCCCTCCGCAGGATCCTTTCCCTGCCGCTGGGAATGAGGGCGTCTCCTGCCCGTTGGCTCTCAGCCTCGCTCGCCGCAGGTACGTATCTCCAGCGGAGAGAGAGCCGGTGACAGGCAGTGGAAGTCCAGGCAGGAGGGCTGCTTGAGCCACTGCTTCCAGCCCTGCTTGAGGTCGAAACGCTCCTTCCCGGCAAATTTTGGGGAGGCGGGTGCGGGGAAACTCTGCCAGGGGTGATTTTTGGGGCTGCAGGCGAGCGCCCCGGAGCTGTGTGTCCCTGGAATAAACCCCACTGAGCTCCTGGGGCCGAGACCTGCCACGGGGCGGTTCCTGCTCTCCTAATTTCTTTTTTATCCCTTTTTTTTTCTGCCGGCAGGAGTTATTTATCCCTTTTTTTTTCTGCAGGAGAGGTTTCACGCCGGCAATCGGCAGCTGAGCAGTGCGCTGCCCACTATGGCCGGTGAGTCTGGGCTCGGTTCGTGCCGGGGGGTATAAACCCTCCGGCTCTGTCCCCTCCATCACTGGCGTCCCCTCCCTGCCGAAGCACGAGGGTGCCCACAGGCCGCTCGCTGCGACGCGATAGCATCCGGCTGTCGGTAATAGCCGAGGTTTTTAGGGGCTGGGGCGGTTTCTGGGGGTCAGGGTGAGATCCCACCTGGCTCTTTCCATCTGGAGGCGTCCTGCTGAGCCGGCAAACCCCTTGGGAAGCCCAGGGGGGTGCTGAGCCCCAACCTTCACCACGGTCTCTCCAACTCCGCAGGCTGGTTTAGGCGGCTCCTGCACAAGCCCAAGCCCAGCTCGGCGGAGAGCAGCCTCGATGCCGGCCGCTCTGCTTCATCCTCGCCTTCCTCCTCCTCATCCTCTGCCAAGAGCTCCGGATCCTCTCCTGGCACGAGCCTGGCCAGGTCTGTCTGCCCAGCGCCCGTCTTGGCGTCGGACATCAACGCCTCGGGCAGCGCCCGATGGGCCAAGAGCTACGACGTCTGCATCTGCCACAGCGACGTGGACCTGGAGCTGGTGGAGGAGCTGGTGTCCTACCTGGAGGGTCAACCCGAAAGCTTCCGTTGCTTCCTCCAGCTGCGGGACGCGGCAGCGGGAAGCGCGGTGGTGACGGAACTGTGCGATGCCGTGCAAAACAGCCACTGCTGGGTCATGCTCATCACCCCCGGCTTCCTCCGGGACCCTTGGTGCAAGTACCAGATGCACCAGGCGTTGGCCGAAGCTCCGATGGCCAACGGGCGCACCATCCCGGTGTTGAAGGACGTGGATCGGAAGGACTATCCCAAGGAGCTGCGAAACCTCTACTACATCTACATGGCGCTGAAGGAGAAGAGCTTCAGGCAGATCAGGGACACCATCATGCGCTGTGAGTATGCCGTGGGATGCTGGTGGAACATCACTCCGGCGGGGTAGAGACCATGGGAAGGGACCGGATTCTGTAAATTTATTTAAATAGTTGATTTCTAGATGAATTTGGTTGCTAATGGGGCTTCTCCGCAGACCTCCAGGAGCTGTGCCGGAGCTCTGCCAGCAGCACGGAGTAGTGCCGGGAGCAGGCAGAGGCGTCCCTGTGGGCGTTTCGGAGCTGCCACCGCTGGATCGGGATGCGGCCGTGTCCTGACGGACCTCAGGGGCGAAGCTGAGCCACTTGGACCAGAGCTGGGAACCGAAGATGATGGTGGTGGTGGTGGTGGGGGGAGGTCTCCACACCCGTGGGGGGACAGCGGCGTGGAGCCTGCCCTGTCCCGCTGATGCTACCACCATCCCGGTGGCCAAAACCCCCTCGGTGGGGACGGGAATATCCTCCAGCAGGCTCTGCCTATCATGCCAACGGTGGGTTCCGGGGGTCGTCTTGCTTCTCGTGGCGGCGTACCCCTGGGGTGAGG